TAATTGAAAAATTTCTTAATGTCATTATGAAAGAACTAGATTAACCCAAGTTAATTCACTTTATTGTTCAAAATAAAGAGGAATAAGCATTGAACTCACTTGCAAATTTGGGGCATGAATTAGGGGTGAGATGTTGTCTTTAAGGACTCTGCCAGTTTAATTAAGATATGGAAAATTACTTATTGTTCTTCACCACTAAAGTGCTAGGAATTAACAGCCAAATGTGATGCCTGTGCCTTTCATATCTCTACCATGTGTTTGTTTGTTTAATACCCATAAGACTACATCATTAAACCTCAAGCACTGATTTCACTAATTCAGCACTAGAGCTACATGCTACAGCAGCAAACACCTTTTCTAGTCAATCATAATTGAACAGCTGGATGTAAAATGCAATATTATTTTTAGGCTCGTATCTAACTTTGACTTCAAACCACAAACGGTATTTTCCTCCAAAACAAAATACCTTCCTATCTTTGTAATACATCCGCTAAATATAGCAAGAGCACCAGGATAGCGTGTGATATGTTTTACCCACTTTATCGGTTCCTCATAATTATAGATGCCACCGCGAACTGCCAACATTATTGCACTTCTCTTTTCTTCCTGGAACGACGTCTGCATTTAGCGAAACATAACGCAAGTTGTTTGTTTTTTCTTTAGGAAGTATTACTTAAGAGAGCAGCAGACCTTGTGGAAGCCCTATATGGGATGCCCCATAACAACCAGGTATGTCACCAGTGCCGTCTTTGTCTACACGCCTACACATGTAAATCAATACCTGCTATTTGCAAACCTGGCAGAGCATCAGCACGTTCTTTTTGTACACAGCCTGGCTTTGCCAGCCACCTTGAGGGCAGTCTGATGTGATGCAATGCTCTAAGGGAAATGCTTCATCTTCCCATTCTCTTCTCACCGCTAGTTTGCCTATCAGAAATGACAATTAAGTGTAAGGTGCCAAAAGCATAAGCAATCATTAAGGCAAGAGAATAACCTTGAATTCGGGCCAAAATATACAGTGACTAATGGGAAGTCCTAAAGAAATCTGCTAAACAGAGCGGATAAAGCATGCTGTATTTTGCAAACTGCTGAAAATACATCTACTGCCCCAGACGAATAGAGTGTATGTTACAATTTTTGCAGGACTTAGAGTGCTAAACTCTAATTCTATGTTAATTTCTTTATTTCTTTACACTTACTGTGTTGACGTGAAGTTGCATAGTGCTCTGGTACATAGGCAGGAAAACAGAGAGTGCAGCTGAAACGAGCAGCAACATCCCCACCCTTACTGTAATGTCACATGAATCTCTTCTGTAAATTTTAACGTCGTTGCGACTTGGAATGTTTACGCAAATCAGTTTCTTAGTTGTCAGTGCTTATTTTATGTCTTTCTAGGAAATAATCCTGAAACGAGCAGCTGACATTGCTGAAGCGCTATACAGTGTGCCACGCAACCACAACCAGATCCCCACTCTAGCCAACACTCCTGCTCACACTGGCATGATGGGAGTGAACTCCTTCAGCAGCCAGCTCGCTGTTAATGTTTCCGAAACATCACAAGCGAACGACCAAGGTATGTGGGATTTCAAGAGTTAATCCTTCACGTTGTTGACTGCTTTTGGCCAGTGCCTATTAATACGAGCTGATGTCACCGCTGTGTTCTACCTCTTTTTCTCCCCGTAGTCGTATGTCTGATCGTGTAATGAAATGCCGCCTTTAACTTTCTCCTAATATTTAATTCTTCCTGTTCTTTCGTTTACTGTTATCATAAAGCATCTCCAGTGGAAAAAAAAAATTGGCAAAGTGTAGAAAGCTCTTTATTATTCACAGTAAATATACAACATGTATGTTTTTTATAAAATAATTACGTCAAGGTATCTCCACCTGGTTTTGGAATATTTACACAGATAAATCTAATTTGATGTCTGTGATTTTAAAATACTTTGTTTATAGGCATGTGTGACATGTTACTAATAAAAGTAATAGTTGATTTAATTTACCTGTTGTAATTGAAAATGCATGTAGCGTATTGCATTTAAAATTAATTTTGATACTAATGAAAGGAGGGAAACAGGATTATTAGATATGTTCAAACCCATATTTTTTGCTTGCAACGTAATTATTAAATTGATTGCTCAGATAGGAACAAATTGTTGTTTAAAATCCTGATTCTGCTATGTTTCCTCTTCTAAAAAGATTGTCTTTTAATGCTTTTCCAAGCTAATAAGCCTTATGAAATTCTGTACTTGATCTTGAATTAGTTTTCACTGATGGCTACACCTTACGAAAGTACGAGCTTGTTGTTAGTGTAAAACTATCAGTCATAAAATGAAGAGCCCAAAACAGCCTTTTAAAGTAAATCACCGCAACAAAAAAGTTTTTCTTGTCAGCTATGGCATTTGAAGGTCTGGAGAGGCTGAAAGTTCATTCAGTGTGTTGGTACAAAGCGGGACTCGAGCCTGTTGATAATTGCTCCTAAAGACAAACGTGAAGGCACCTGACACAGCTGGATCGAAGAGAGCTTTTGTTGGCTGTCTGTGCTAAGAGGAGAGACAACATAGAGTGCTCGCAGATGATTTAAGTAGGGTTGGCGTGATAAGGTTATCTCAAACTGCAAGAGTTGATAGGGCAGTAAGAGACAACTTAGAGCAAAGCTGTGCAATCAATTAAAACTGTGTAATATATGCTGCATGAGGAAACCCCCCAGCCCTAAGTCTATATTATAAAATAACATTATTTTTTTGGGGTGGGGGGGTTTCTAACACAGTAGGTTACAGTCGCAACACAAGCAGTGTTTCCCCGCGAGGATATGTTCCCAGCAGTACTCCTCAGCAGTCCAATTACAACACAGTCAGCAATAGCATGAATGGATATGGCAATGCCGGCATGCCCAATCTAGGTGTACCAGGTTCCCCTGGATTTCTTAATGGCTCCTCAGCTAACTCTCCTTATGGCAGTAAGTGTCTATTTTTGGTAACACATCATCATATAGATTCATATTTACTACAAAATCAAATACTTGCATTGTTTTGATTTCCTATATTGTGAGCTACTGGATAAAAGGAGGGGTGACTCTGGAGGCTGGACGTAAAAATGAATATAATAAATTGATCTGTTTGTGCCATAATACAATCTCAGATAGAAAAAAAATTGGACTGCGCAATTTGTAACAAAAGTCCAACACAAAAGAGTTTGCCTGTTATCCAGAGAGTGGCCAAGCCAAGGCATTTCATTTTTTTTTTTTATATATATTTTTTTATATATATATATATATTAAGAGGCAAGGCCCTATCACTCTCTTTTCCGTGTTTGCCGTGAAAACCTCAATCTGAGTCCTGATTATTTTTGCTTTATTGCAGTAGTGCCGTCAAGCCCTACCATGGCAGCCTCTTCGGTCACCCTCCCTTCAAACTGTAGCAGTACACACGGCATTTTCTCATTCTCACCTGCCAATGTCATCTCTGCAGTGAAACAAAAGAGCGCCTTTGCTCCTGTTGTCAGGCCCCAAGCCTCTCCTCCACCATCTTGCACCAGTGCAAATGGAAATGGACTTCAAGGTGAGCTGGATCTCTCTCAATTTTCTGTGTATTGCTTTTTTGGTGCATACACTCAAGCCCTGGTCGTTTATTTTGGAGAAAGGTACCTCGCTATATTTTTAGGTCTCCGGTGCTCTCATAGTGATGCAAAAGCAGGAGAAGAAACAGGGTGGCACGAATGGTATGCTAAGATTTTAAGCAAATCTTAGTTCATTTTTAATACTTGCATTAGAGAAAACACTAGTTGTTCTTCTGGCAATTTCCCTTAGGAATTCGTGCCTTAAATTTTAAAGTAAGACTGTATCCCTGAATGCTTCTTGGAGGGTTCATGTACTCCTTGCGTTTATATGTTTTCTGAACGCATTTCTATGGCTGTTTAAAACCATGATGTGGTGCGATTTCCTCATTTTACATAGGATGCAATAGTTATTTTAAAATATCTCAAATCAGTGTAAATCAGTTAAGCTCTTACTCAGGGAACTAACCTTCCCTTGGAGTAGCTAGCCGCTTGTGCAGTGAGTTTGTGTGCTCTGTTGGTCCCAGCTCACTCTCTTACCGTGGTGTTTAACTGGTTACTTCCCTAAATGAGCAACTAAATATTTTAATTGAGGCAGGCAATTTTAAGCTTCTGCATTTTTTTAATCTCTGTGATTTCGTGGGGGTAGTGTAATGGATGATTTATAAATCAGTTGCAGAATTTCCCTGGTCACCTGCTGGGACTGGGGCAGGAGGAATTATGATACAGTGTATGTTTGGTGGTAGAATAAAAATATGAACAAAAAAGTCTTCCTTTTTATGGCATATTTTAACATTTAAAAGATAATATTGTCAGATGCGTTAGGATCGTTGGAAAGTTTTGTTTGCCTCTGTTTTGCAAATCATAAGCCTCGTTGCACAGTGCAGTAAGTCGAAGCACTTCAGATCCCATGGAGATCAGAAAGGGCTGCAGACGCTCTTACCCCGGAGGTCGTCACTCCTCTTGACTTTCTTAGTTAAGATGTAGGTAGCGCAGTATTATCTATTCTTTGCATTACCATGATATCCATAACATGATGAGCACTCACAGGCAAACAGATGAAGACAGATATTTTGATTTGCCGGACTAATTCTGGACACCTGCATTTTGTGCTCTCCAGCTTAAGGCACTTTGGAGAGACATAATCCCTCAGACCTGTCTGTCCACCCCAAATCCAGGCCGTTTGAGACCAGGATCTCAAAATGGATGTCCCTGTAGCTTGTTATTAATTTCTTGGCCCAAAGAAGCATCTGAGAGCTTATTATGCACTCGGGTCAGTGAAGGGCTGAGGATCCAGCTAGACAAATCTTATTGTAGGATGGATGTTAAAGAAAAGGATAATTAGATTAACAATTTCTGTCATTGCCTATGTCTTTAGTGGAAGCTTTACTATGTTACTGTGAGTAGAAAACTATACCAGGTATAAGCAATATTCTTAGAAAAGATTATCCATTCATAAAATAATCCAGTGTCCTACTTTTCCTCTTTTTACAAAAAGACACTAGTATAAAAAGTAGATCCTGAAATGAAATAAAATAAAATAAATAAATAAATAAAAAGGTAACACACAGCTTAGATCTGAGGCAGCTATTCTGAAGCAAGTGTTTTTATATATATTCTCATTACCTTGTTGATACTGATTTACTCTGAAAAATAAAACTATTTATGACCTAAATTAAAATGATCTAAACTTCTGTAATTTCAGCATGTAAACAAAGGGCTTCCCATCAGATATTCAAGGTTTCAGGTGCTTAAAAGGTCTAGATTACTGCGAAGTGGGGTTTTCAGAAGAACTGGGCAGGCTAAATGCCTGCACCGAGCACCCAATCTCCCCTGGCACCTCCCCAAGCCCCCAGTAACCATACGTCTTCATCCTCAGGTACAAAATGCTTTTCGTATAAACGCCCAGTAGACAACTTCGAATCGACCAATACTGACTTTGTTAAATAGGTCATGAAATCAGCTCTTAGGCTGAGGCCCAACCCTGCCCTGGACCGAGCTTTTTCCATGCCCAGACAGCCCAGTGAAGGCCTAACGGTCCCTTCAACCCCTGATTTTAGGATGCTGCAACCCAAGGAGCAGACCTGGTGTCATCCCTGGCCAAGTCCAGCATCCCATGGGTGTTGCTAAAGCTCTAGGTTAGGTGCCCCCGAGACCTGCGCTGCTGCCTCACCGGGCTGTTCCTACCCCGCTGAGCACTAAAACTTCAAACACAAAAGGTGTCCAGATGTAGGGATGTGTTTGGGGTTTGGTTCAGCAGCCAAACTGAAAATGAATAGAAGTGTTGGGGAAAAAAAAAAAAAAAAAGTCATGTTTTCCTCACCCGGCTGAAGCAGCTAAACTGAATCATTTTGTGTTGAGCAAAATGACCCAGAGAAGTAGCAAGAACAATTTTCTGGGCTGGTAATTAGAGCACTGAGTTCCGGGGTTGTGACAAAAAATTGAGTCATTTATGCAAAGCAGCACGGCACCAGGAAGCAATGCTCTGTATCGTGAGAGTTAGGGTACTCTAGCGAAAGGTAAAATATGTGGGTTCAGGTCCCCTTGGGCTGAGGAGAAAATCAAATTGCATCTGATATATCCTTGGTGCATTCCTTTATCATCACAGCAGAGAGGCACCATCATTTTTCCAACCAAAGCTGTTGGGTTAATTCAGACTGAACTCACGAAAGGCTTCAGGTTGACAACACTTCACCCAGCTGTCCTCACAGATCTCAACCGGTGCCTCGAATTGAACTGCAGCCAGAACTGAGTGGCAAGACAGGGATGAATTTGTCATACGCTTCCTTCATGAGACATCATGAAGCAAAGCCAGCAAGGCAGGAGATAGATACTTACTTACACTGCATTTTACCTGTACAGTTATTTAGGGGGCTTCTGCTTCCTTCTTCCTATTTTCTTAGTCATTTGTTGACATTGAGCCCTTTGTAAAGTTTAATTAGTTGCTTTCTGAAAACTGTGCAAGCAGCTCGAGAGTTTTCTGATCAGCACATTTTCTACTGTAAATTAAAATCTGGAATTCAAGAGCTGCAGTCTAACACAGCTAAAATTTTTCGGTGATCTTCAAGTACAGAGCCTCATTATACAGCAGGATGTGAAGGAGCTGAGTGACAGCTGAGGAGTCTGCACTGTTAGGAATGGTCACGTACTTTTAGTCAAGCCAAGACAGAAGTGGGAGCTCACGGTCACTGTTGTTGTACCGACGGTAAATCCTGCAGTTTATGAACCTGGATAAGAAGGGATGACGTGCTCTTTTAATCACAGGGCAGGATATCCTCTCTCTTGTTGCTTGTTATGTTACCTTTCCCCACGTAAGCTCTGTTCTGAAATAAAAGCCAGTTGGATAGTTTTCAGGGAAGCTGGTTGAGCCGGCTATGGCAAGGCATCGCACACCGACATGACAGGGCCAGGCAGCCCAGTTTTTCCCAGTTTCCTAGCCCAGTTTGTTAGCACTGTGCAGGGGCAGAGTCAGATGAAAGCACGGCAAAACCCGACACGTAACAGCCCTGCAGGCACGGGCAGTCCTTTTTACAAGGATTTGGGGGTTAATTGCATCCATCCGTGCTGGGTAAACCACTGTAGGATTTGTTCGCATGTGGAAAAATGCTGTTCATGGTACATCTAAGATGGTGAGAAAGCAGGAGCAGAACTACGAAGCTCCATCTGGACCTCAGATGGGCTGTTCTGTCCCTCTAACATAGTATAAAGCAGAGGTGGAGCTGCTCTAACTTCTGGCTTGTGGTAACATCACATCGGGGCCACCTGAGCCCACCACACTGGAAGCAAGATCTTGCTGCTAGTAAGCATGACCCCCCAAAAGCCACTCTGTGTTTTGGGACTTACTGCCCAAGAGTGAACATGGAGGGGTCTATAGCCATCATGGGATTCACTTTTTTTCTAAAGAGATCCAAGACGGAGGTTAAGAAAAGAAAAAGAATAAAAAAGAAGACAATCTGGGGAAATCTTGGAAAGGTCAGCCAGAGCGAACGTGTAGTCTTCGTCCTTGCTGCACTCGTACACCATCCCTGCCCGCTGCGCATCCGTCCTCGGCCAACCGATACCCTAATTAGGGTCAAAACTCGGAAGCTGCAGCTCACAGAGGAGATGCCCCTCTCTCTGTTGTCCTGGGGGTACGACTCATTCCTGTGAGTGAGTCTACAGAAAAGGGCCTTTGGGCCTTATCCAAAAAGCCACAATCTTGTTAACTCTGTATGACTTCCATTGCACAGTCTATGATCAGAAAGTTAAGTACTTACACTTTTTTTTTTTAAGAGCAGGATGCTAGTGTATGGGTTCCTTATGGCAGAGGGCTTTTTCCTGTTTAAAACAATGGACATTTAAGGTATAAAATAAATTTTTTAGCGAGCAAGTGCTGGCTCGCTGCGAAGTTGGAAGTACAATATGTGTTCAAAATTTGGCCTTCAACTGTAATTTACTTTTTATAGATTGTGAAAGATATTGCTCTCTGTTAAGCTTTACGACTGTAATGCAGAGCAAAAGGTTCTCTATATTCTTTTAAAATTGCATCCTGCTTAATTTTCTGGTCTTCCCCTGGATGAAACTATTAAAATTGTTATTAAAAAACTAGCCACCCGATTTTTCTTTAAGAAGGCATTTGGTATCAATTTGCACAGCAGGAAACATAGTGCAGAAATTCACAATTGTCAAATGTTGCTACTAAAATAAATAGCAAAGTAAATGTCTGGAGCACCAATTTTGCACCCCCTCCCATTGTGTCACAGATAGAATTCAACAAAAATGGCTAAATAGCTTAAATTAAAGAATTCAGACTTTTTTCCCCAGAAAAGTCTGCAGCAGACAACCTAAATTTTCACACAGCAGAAGCCAAACATGAGATTACAATAAATGTGTGATTAAGATGTGCAGGGTATCAGTGCCAAATAATAATGTGCCATTTATTAAGGAATTCATGCACACAACCTCTGGAAGAAAAAAATCTGGACATTTTTTTTCTGCTATGTTGTTCTTTGAAGAAGCAAATGTCCAGATCAGTCCTGGACTTTTGCACTTTGCTTAGCGTGCTGGCAGAGCATGTCTCGTGCTGGCTCCGAGCCGTAGCCTTTACGTCTTACCATCACCTTGACATAGAGTGCGATGACAGATGCCTGCTGAACCTGAACCAGAAAAGATAGGAAGACCCTATATTTTGGGTTGACTTGTGGTGATCTTGATGTCCAGGGCAGCTGATGGTTGTATTGCAGCGTAACAGTACCTCAAAATGAGCTCCCGCGTCCCCCAGTTCAGGGGCATCCCATGTAACCAAACCTCTCTGGGGCTAGGTCGGCTGCTCGATGTAGTGTGGAGTGTGGGAGATTTAGTGGAAATACGATAAGGAAAGTAAATGTTTTGGCTAGGAAAGGTCTCTGCCAATATACGTGCTATTCTCCAGTTATGTTTTGTAACTTTGGTCGCCGTTTAGGTTTAAAACATGCAGTATTACGAACTATGCAAAATTACAACTTCCGCTTCGGTTTTGACATATTGGGAAAAAAAAGTAGCAGAGTTGGAAAACTTGAACCTGTTTCAAGGGCATCACTTGAGATGTGTTTTAGAGAGATGCATTCCCAGACGAGTCCTTCCCATCCGCTCGCACAGCTGCCTACGGCGCCGGCGGGACCAGAGCTGCTCGGGGCTCTGGTCGCAGCCGTTGGAGCAATTCTGGTCGTGCCGACCACGCTGCTGGCTGCTGCAGGAGGTTGTGTTACGTACGAAATGTGTACGTACCCAGCTCTTCCAAACCGTCAAGCTGTAACAGCGAATCTGAAATAAATTAATATTGTTGAAATTAATGAACTGAGAAATTGAAGTTCACATCACTACACGAACAAATTTATTAATATCTGTTGTACATAAATTAATGAGAAATATCATTATGGCAAAAATTAAACAACACTAAAATTAAAGACTGTCTAAATTGTTTCTACCAAAGAGTTAACCAGGAAAAAAGTGGTAGTTGTTGGCACCTCAGTCTTTATCTGTTAAAAAAAAAAGGAGATGGCTGCTCAGGGGCATTAATCTCATGACGTGTTATGGTGCTTGGTCTCCAGAGTTGAGCGCAAGCGTAGGTGGACTTGGCTTTGGTCTTAGAGAGCCCTTGGCTTGCTCAGCCCGGCTGTTACCCTAAAGCACAACGGTGGAAATGGAAGTTTTCTGCCCAGGTGCCAGGTCTGGGCGTGAAGCGGTGGTTGGCAGGCTTCCCGCTGCGGGGACGTTCCCGAGGGATGCCCGACACGACCAGAAGTGACCGTGTCGTTCCTTGGCTGTCAGGAGCCTGACCCCTGCCTCGCTCTTAGCCCCGCGCTGGGAGAGACGCTGCGCCCGCAGGAGTCGGGATGCTCCTTGCGCAAAAAAAACCCCAAAAACCCGCTCGGAGCCTCCTTTCGCGCCGTGAAGCCCTTGCGGAGCGTTTTGCCGGGAAAAGCGCGTGTCGGCGGTCCCTCGGTCGGAGGATGCCGTGGCGCGGCGTGGAGGACCCCGGGCCGGTGCTGAGCATCGCGGAGGCTTTGAACCAGATGTGCCTTACACGAGCGTGCTAATAACGGCTGATTTTTTCTTCTCTTTTTCTTTTAGCTATGTCTGGGCTTGTAGTCCCGCCAATGTAAAGTCACTTTTGTTTACCTACCGTAGCACCAAGCTTCAGAGGATGGGCTTAGGGGACAAGTTTAGTATATTAAGACATGCTGATGGAAACAGTATCTTCACACAGAATCAGCAACAAATCGAAATGCTACAAAAAAAAAAAAAAAAAGACTTTGTTTAAAGATTTTATTTAAACTATTAAGAATCTACATGCAAACAACCTACTTCTTCATGAACAATTCCATTTTATTGACTGAATTTTTCTCATATTTTCACATTTCTCAGTCCTGAAGAATAAGGAAAAAGCGACGCCTATTTTGTATAAAGTTTCTGATTACGTCTTGGCTATGTCTAGTACTTGCTATGTGTTGGGAGAAACTTTGTGGATGCACCATTTTGATTATCATGAAACACTGATGAAAAATGCCTCCGAACATTTTTCTGTACTCATAACTAGATTCACAATGGTTGTGTATCTCTATAATGTGAAATATTTTTTTGTGGTGGAAAAAAGGGGGCCAAGGAGGTTATGAGCCATCAAACTGGAAAAAAAAAAAAGGATGAATATATGATTAGAAAAACAAAAACCGGGGCGCGGGGGTGGGCGCGGGTGGGTTTATCATTGCTTAACTTCATCTTAATGAAATGGAACTTTGTAACTTATTGTAGTTAGAAATTGTAACTTTGATATTGAATTCTCTTGCCTTCAACAAGCACACTGACAGAGGAAAAAATTGCTACTGTCTGTTGGTAAAAAAAAATATACTTCCACTGCTAGAGCTTCCTGTTAAGCAAGTGTGATCTGCAACATTTTTTCAACTTTTGCTAGCACTGTATACTATTGCATTCTTAGGCTACTGTGAAGTCTATGTTTCTTGTACCAGAAAATTGTCCTTTTGACTTCTAGATCCTTCTTCCCTAATGTGTTTTGTATGTGGTTATAAAATTGTAGACTTTTGTGATTTTGCCAAAGTTGTAGCTAAATATTTATACACTTGTCTTGAATTTTTTTCAGATCCACTTAAATATTTAGAAAAGCAAATTTTATTCCTTATGAAGCCTATAAGGAATAAAATAGTCTTATTCATTGCAACACTTTCTTTCACATAAACACTTGCAGTCACTAAGGGAATTTATTTTGTAACATATCAACTATAAATATTGTATTTATCTTTGAAATTTTGTATATTGCTTTTCATCTTTTTTTTTTTTTCTTGTATGTATTGGTTTTTGTCATGGCCTGGTATTGTGATGCTGAGAATAGCATTAAGCCAAGAACCGTTGCCTTCATGTTTTTCTTTTAAATAAATTAGTGTCCGTACATTTCATTTGTACTTCATAAAGTTGCTATTATTTAGACTTTCCATCCTTTTTTTTTTTTATTTTTGAGGAAAAGTCAAATTCATTGTTTATTTTTATATTATTTTTAAGTTATCAGAACAAATAATTTTGAAAAAAAAGTTGTTTGTTGTATAGTCAAATCAAAATTGTGCCACATGGCTGTAATGAATACTAGTAGAATATGTGCATGTGATACAGCCACAGAAAAGATGAATCTATTTTGTGGTTGCATTTTTTTTCTTCTTTTTTTTTTTCTTTTTTTAATTTTTTATTTTTTTTTAAAAGATTGTAAAAAGTCATTTTTAGCTGCCACCCATGACTTTGCCACATAGCTGAACTGTGTTTACTGGAAAAATTCAGAGGCCTAAAGTTTAAAATAAATTCACTTCTGATGTTTTAATTAAAACGTTTGCCACATTAACTTCTCTGATGCCTTAAAAGTGAACTTCTTTGAAGAACTTTTGTGCTGTTTTATCACAGGCTTACACCACAATTGTTAATCACTACTTCATTTGGATAATTTCTGGTGTAAAAAAAAAAAAAAAAAGCACAAACCTGGTGTACAATTATATCACTCCTTTATGTGTCTATTTTCTGCTGCACTCTGCATTCTCCTGAACCCTGCACTGTTTAAAAAAGATAAAGGTTTCACGTGAAATCGGGATCATACATAATTTTTAAATGTTTGGGGTTTGTTTATTTAGGTTTATTGGTTTTTTTATGGAACTTTTTGTAATACACCCGTAGGTGACTGTACTTTTTAAACTGGAATGACCTCCGTTGTATATTGTGGCTGTTAGTGCCAAATCCATAGAGAGAAACGTGGAGATTTTTTTTTTTTTTACTTTGCACTAAATAGTTTGCCAACACAGCACTGCAAAACATGTTGCAAACTGCAGCAGAATTAAAGTTTTAACCAAAAAGGAGGGATCATTATTTTTTTTTTTTCTTCCTGGGCAAAAATGCACATTTTAGTAAAGCGTTTATTAAAGGGTTTAAAAGAACGATACAGCGTATCACAGCTGATAAATGCCGTGCGCATTTCCTTTGTGATAAGGAATAAGGCTTAGCTAAGTGGAAAAGCCTGAGAAGTCACTTTGGAACTGAATTGCCTCCGTTATATTTTGTCTAAGTAAGGTTTTGCTCTAAAGAAGAGGTCACGTGTACATGTTAAGAAAGTTTGCAAGTTTCTTCATAAATGCAATCTGTTTGTGTTTTAGATTACTTAGTCAATGCACTCATTGCTTCATTGTCTCCAGAAGGAAAGCTTCACTAAATGGTAGATTTTACTGTTAAAGACCCTACAATAAGATTGTTTTATCTGTACATTTTTTCATATATTTAACTGTATAAAAAAATGTTCATTTTACACAATATTTAATTAAAGTATTTCTTGTCTGTGAATTTCATTTTTAGTAATTTTATCTGGTTTGATTATTAAAAAAGTGACTAAACACAAAACAAAAAAATGCAACACCGGGGGTTTCATTTCTAAATACCAGAACTCGAAGTTATGTCGTGGTTAAGAAAAAGCACAATCCTTGACGTGCCCCAGGATAGCCAGCCCAGGCAGCCCCTGAGGATGATGAGGAAGGAGACCTCTGCTCTGCAGTGCGGCAATGACTTGTTGCTCAGCCTTGGTGAAGTATTTAAACAAAACTGTGCTTCAGACACCCTTTTTGTAAAGTGAAGGTAACAGTAGAGTAATTTTTTTACTTTTTTTTTTTCTATTTTAATATCATATTGTAAAAGTCTGTAAACAGGAAAAGTTATTTTAAACATAGCACAACCCAAATTTTCCATGCAGCGGTTTGACACCGACGGTTGACGTACTCGTCTTTTAAATGCTGACAAGGAGGCAAATGCTTTGGCTAATTATACTACCGAACACAAATATTTCATGCTCTGGACTGTTACGATGCTAAGCCTGAAGCAGAGGTCTGAGTTCCCTTCCCCAGGTGCCGAGCGTGTGCCCGCATCGTCGTGTGTGACCGCGGCCACCAGAAAAAGGGCGTTTGTACAGGAATACGGGTCTGGCTGCGTGCACAGCCGGCAGAGCAACCCACGTGCCCGTCCCGGTAAAGCACGGGAGCTCGTTACGTGAGTTTTCTCCTGTCGTTAACCAGAGGGCTGCTGACAACTTCAAGAGGGCACTGAGAAACTCCGAGCTGCAAAGTAAATGTATGTGCTTGTGTATGTGTATATACTGCCAAATGACATGCCATATGCCGGAGCCTCTCCTTCGTCGCCCCGTGTTTCCGCAGTTAAATGGAGTGTGATGAGAAGGTGCAGCTTACTGTAGCTACAATTTACAAAGAAGGAAAACTGGGATATTTAACTCTGTTGCCTTTCTTCTCCAGTATTTCCATAGTTTTTATGTTTGATGAAAACAGATGTTAGAAATATAGAGCACTTTGGATTATGCTTATTATTATGATGCATTGACAACGGTTCCACTTTGAGTATGTATCTGTGTATCGTGTTTAAACGGTGGCATAATCAGATGCATCCCACTAAAAAATAAGATGGTTTATAGGGATGAAAGTCTGCATGATGCCTACTGGCACTTTTCCTTTTAGGTTTATTTCAAAGGTTTGAATAATGAGCATCTAAATGGTTTGTCTAACTTTCAATGCAAAGAAAATACAAAAGAAGAAAACCCATCCATTTTGTGCTAGGAATGACAAGTCCTAGAGCAAGCCACCACCTACGACACATCCCTGTCTGTAGCTTGGTAATAGCCCTGGCGAGAAAATATGTTGTGTCAGCCTATAGTGAGTTTAGACATAGGAAGATGATAAAAATTCCTTAATCAAAATGAAGGAATAGAGTCTCTAAAAGTATATACCAATTATTGCAGAGCAGCTTTTTAAAGTCTTTCAAGCTTTTAAAGATTATTCAAAGCACTTGAAATAGGCTTCAATCTAATGCCTCATTTCATTGCATTAAACAGCCTAGTTAATAAAGAATCAATATATTCAAAGGGCAAGGTTATCTTTTGTCTATAAGGGGTGGTGTCATTCTGAACCTTTTATAGTTCAAATGCTGAAAAAGACCTCATGAAATCCATACTCATCAAGTGGGTCAACTAGAGCAATAAAGAGGCCTCTGAAAGAATGGCTGCACTCCTTTAAAACAACTATAAGTCTTATCTCCCCACATAGTGCTCGCCAGGCTCCGCCAGAAAATGTCAATTTCTCATCAAGACAAGAGGCCCAACGATAATTTTTTTCTGGAGAATACACACAATTAGGAGAATGCAGAAAGGCCCCATCAGTGATTTGTAGCTTATTATGTCACCAGCAAGCTGCGATCCACCGCTAAGCAGATAATAAGGGCTGTTGATAACTAAAGTGTCAATACGCCAAAGAACGATTTTTGAATGTGAGCCCTTGTGCTTTTTTTCCCCTCCTTGTGCAGATCGCGGGGCCGATAACGGTGCATCTGCCAACCGACACCGCCTGTTGGACCTCACAATTAATGCCGTGAATAAATAGCACAAAAGAGTTTAGATTCTTTATACTCTTTGAGACAATTCCCTGCTTTACCCTTCAAGGAGTTCTTTTATGTTCGAATAAGGTTGCTTTTAATGAAATTTAAACTCATCAGAGGAAATCAAACCCCTCAAATCAGATTACAAATTGATTTTTTTTGGTCACTTGTCATTATACAATGTACTGCCCTAAGTTTTACAGGAAAAGGAAGAGAAAGCACCCACTCTGGAGTCAGAGTATGCAAACAATCTCTACAAAAGTATACAAAGGAGGTACATTCCTAAAGTCCACAAGTAATAAAAAGTTTTTAAA